CCCCCCCCCCCCCCACGTCCCCTGCCGCCAGCACTCGCCTGTGGGATGGGTCACTTGCTGACGGTGCTTAGGAACAGTTTACTTCTGCAGCGAATCCCGAGCAAGTCGGCCTCAACCTCACTCAGTCCCTTTCGGTCTGATTCGCGCTTCGGGAAACTGCTCCCGACCCCAGGGCCGCCCCGTGGACCCGGCCGCTTTGTGTGGGGACCCTGACTTGAGTTCCTCTCGGGGCCGTGCCGGGGGCTGAAGCTCCTCCTTTTCTCCTCCTCCTCAGGGTGTCCCCCTGGGTACCAGCGAGCTGCCCCCTGCCCAGCGGCTGCCCCCGTACCCGTACAGCCCCCCAAGCCTCGTTCTGCCCACCCAGCCGCCCACCCCGAAGCCGCTACAGCAGCCCGGGCTGCCCTCTCAGGCCTGCTCGATGCAGCCTGCGGGCGGGCAGCCCCCAGGCCGGCCGCCGCACTGCGGGCTCCTGTACCCGCCCGGCTCCGGGGGGCACGGACAGCAGTCTCACCACCGGCTGATGAGTGACTTCAGCCTGGGGACCGTGAGTGCCCAGGTCACTGGCGTTGAAGCAGGGGAGGGGCTGGGGGTGAGGTGAGGCAGAGGGGCCTCTGCGGGGTTGGGAGAGCCGGGGGGGGGGAGATCACCCCCCCAGGTAACAGCACTGCCAGTCTGAGGCTTCTGTCCTGCCCCTCCCCCAGCTGGCCCCGCGTAGCGTGCTCTCTGAGCGCTGCTGCCCCGACTCCCTCTCTTCCCCGCATGCGCTCGCTCTGTCCCGGCGGGTACGGCGCCCACACCTGCTGCGGGCCCCGTGCTCGCTTCTGCCGCTCTGGCTGCTGCCTCTGCCCTCTCCTCTCATTTCCTGGGGTGGGGGTGCGGGGTTGGTGCTTTCCTGGGCAGAGGGGGGCAGATGCGACGCACCGGAAGCCCACTTCCTCGGGGTCTGTCTGTGCGTCCACAGCCGGAGCAGTTCGGCACGGAGAGCGCGTCAGCCAGCCTGGCGCTGGACCCCTCTGGCTTTGCTGAAGGGCCTGGATTTTTAGGGGGCGAGGGGCCAGTGAGCGGCCTCCAGGACCCCCATACCCTCAACCACCAGAACTTGACCCACTGTTCCCGCCACGGCTCAGGGCCCAACATCATTCTCCCAGGTGAGCAGCGTGGGTGGTGATGGGCACGAAAGGAGGAGAGCACGCGTTTGCCGGGGCCCCCGGAGTCTCAGGTCCCCGAAGAGTCTACAGGGCACCGGCCCTCACCCCTCTCTTCTGTCCTCACAGGAGACTCCTCCCCGGGCTTCTCCAAGGAGATCGCTGCAGCCCTGGCCGGAGTGCCTGGCTTTGAGGTGTCCGCGGCCGGGCTGGGGCTGGGGCTGGGGCTGGAGGAGGAGCTGCGCATGGAGCCCCTGGGCCTGGAGGGGCTCCACATGCTGAGCGACCCCTGCGCCCTGCTGCCCGACCCTGCGGTGGAGGACTCGTTCCGCAGTGACCGGCTGCAGTGAGGGCCGCGCTGGCGGCCCCTTCTCCCTGGCCCTGTCTTGTCACTGGGCCTTTCCTCCCTGGCCCCTGGCCAGTAGAGATGCCACGCTGCCCCCCCAGATCCTCTTTCTGCCACGAACGAGCGATCCCAAGAAAGAAAGAGCGAGGGGTCTGTGCGGGTGGCCCCTGAACCCTGCACAAGGGGCGGCCTGGGGGAGCTCGAGGAAGGGCCTAAAGCACTTGTAACTTTGAACTTCTGTCTGGAGGTCAGAGCCTGTTGGAAGGCAGGGGTGGAGGGGAGCCCCGGAGGCGGGGCTTGCCCTCCGCCTGGGGGTGGGCGGTGCCGGCCCCTCCCCACTCTTCCCCTTGCAATGCAGGAGAGAGCCAGAGTGGATATTATTTTTTATTAAATATATTATATGTTAATAAAAAAATCGTATTAAGCTTTGGAGTGGTTTGTACTGTTGGGGATGCATCTGGGGATTTAGAGGGTCCTGGGCCCCAGGCCCTTTCCTTGCTTAGGCTTTTTGGATCTTCTCAGCACTGCTGTGGTTTGTGGAAGGGCCCCAGCCTCAGAATTTGTACCCAGCCTTGAACATGGGCTTCCGGGCTGGATGTGGACTCCCAGGGCAGCACACATGCCCCCGTACCCCCCGCCCCAAGTCCAGGCCCGGTCGGCCATGGGGACAGGAGCTCTGACTGGCCAGGCGCGGTGCTGAGGCCTGGCTGTGAGTTCCGGGTGAGGAGGTGACTGATGGCCGAGAGGGCAGTCCGAAGCTTCCCCAGGGGCCGCTGCCTCCGAGGAGGCAGTATGGATGCCAGGCAGGGTTCAGGCTGGATCCCGGGAGAGCCCCGGGAGAGCCCTGCGGGATGCCCCCGGGTCTCCTGCCCCTTCCTGTCTGGCTGCCTGTGCTCTGCCCTCCAAGCTCTTCCGCACCCGGCAGTCAGGGGAGTGGTGTCCCCTGCGGCTCCCCTGCCCCCCTGCTCTCCCTACACCCCACGGTGCCGGCCTCTCCTCTTCCTCTTTCCAAAGCCCTTGTCTTTTTCAGAAAAGGGAACCGAGAGCTTGTGGCCGAAGCCCGCCCGGAATGCAGTGTGCCCTAAACCTGGAAGTAGGGGTGTCGCGGGGTCGGCACAGCCAGGGCCTGCCGGGCCACATGTGACCAGGCCCCGCGGCCTGCGTGCAGGGGGCCCTCCCGGCCGCCAGGGGTCGCGCTGCAGGCGCCGGGCGGGCGCGGCGGGGTCACGGCCGGGGGTGCGGGGTGGGGGGGGGCCCACTAGGGAAAACGGGGCGCGCGGACGAGCCCGGCGCGGCGCCCCAGCCGCCTGTCCCTCCGCCTGCCGCCCGGCGGGAGCGCGCCGAGCCCGGCGCCCTGTCCGGGACCGGGTAGCCCGCCCGCCCCCGCCTCCGAGCCGCCCCGCCCGGCCCGCGCGGGCCGGGGGCCGGGGAGCCGCGGGCCGGCAGGTAGGGGCTGGGCCGGGCGGGGCGGCGCGGGCGGAGGCGGGCGGGCGCCGGCTGCGCATCTGGTTCCGCTTCCTCCGCCGCGGGGAAGTGAAAGAGCGGGGAGGGCGCCGCGGCCGGCGCCCCGCAGCCCGGCGGGGCAGGGGCGGGCGCGCAGGTGTGCGGCGGGCGCCCCCCTTCCCCCCGCCTCCGGCCCCGCGGCTCCCGCAGCAGCTCCCCTGCCGGGACGGCCGCGTGGGGCCGGGGCCAGGGCCGGGCCGGGCGGGCTTGGGGGTGCCCGGGGAGGGCGGAGGAGCGGCCGCGCGCGGGGCCCGCCGCCCCCTCCCCGCCCCCCGCCCCGGCCCCGGCGGTCCCCCCGCCGCGCGCCCTCGGGCCGACTTCCGCCCGCGCAGCTTCCCCTCCCGGGTTTCGGGAAGTCCCCTCCCTTCCTCTCCGCGGCGCCCCACGCCTCCAGTCCTCCGCTGCAGCCACCCACTGAGCTGCGCCCCAGCTCTGCGCCCTAGGGCTCGGGGACCCCCGGGGCCCCCGCTCTCGGGTTGGGCCACGGCGGCAGGTGAGAACACAGTGGCTCCAGGCCCGGGGGGCGCGCGCCTCCCTCCCTGGGCTCCGCGGAGGAGGGCAGACGGCTCTGGACCCGACTTGGGGATCCTGGAGGTGGGAGGGTGCAGGGCTGCTGGGTTGCGGGATTTAGGAATCAGGGCACTTGAGTCGGCCTCAGAGACACGAAAACTTGGGCTTTGTGGGCTTTCCTGGAAACCTAGAGGGACGCTCTTTAAGAACGTTATGTGGATCGTGAGGCTGATGTCACCAGTAGAGTCGGAAGGTCAGAAACCCCTAAAAAAGACTGTCAGGTTGGCACGATGTCATTTAGGCACGTAGGCCCTTACGGGAAGGACTGATCTCCGCAGGCGGGGGCGAGCCCGGGTGGGGTCTTCAACGGGGGTTCGGAGCAGTCTGAGGTCAGGGCCGAGGTCAGCCGCGAGCCCAGAGTGGTGCGCGGCTGGTTTGGGGAGCCGGCTGGCACCGCCTCGCGCCAGGGTCCGGGTCTCTTTAAGGGCCCGCTGACGTCACGGGCGGGAGCGCTCCGGGTTGGCGGCCCACCCCGGGCCTACCCTTCTACCCTTCCCTGGAAGGTGGGAAGGCTCGGGGTCGCCTCCGGGTCGCCTCCCGGGCCGCCTCCCCCGCTTCACCTCTCCCGCACTTGACCGTTCCAGATGCAGTGAGTGAAGGGGGGGCCATGGCGGAGGAGCGGCCCCCCCGGCTGGTGGATTACTTCGTGATAGCTGGGCTTGGGGGCAACGGAGCACCCATCCCCGAGGAGACGTGGGTTCCCGAGCCCAGTGGGACCCTGCGCCCTCCGCGGCCCGCCGATCCCATCACTGACGTGGCGGTCATCGCCAGGGCCCTGGGCGAGGAGGTGCCCCAGGGCTACACCTGCATCCAGGCCTCGGCTGGGGGCCACCCCTTGGAACTCAGTGCGGGGCTCCTGGGTGGAACTCAGCCCGTCATCTGCTACCGCAGGGGCCGTGACAAGCCCCCTCTGGTCGAGCTGGGGTGCGTGCCCCCTGTGTAGGGACGGGGGGGGGGGGGCGGCCAGAGGTCCAGGGGCAGGGGGAGGGCAGGAGTATGCACCCAGTCCTCCCTCGGGGTGGGTTCGTGGATTCGTGTGGCTGCTCCCAGCTTCCAGCCCCCCCTCGTGTCTCCCAGTCTGTAAAACGGGGGAAATGACAGCTCCTCAGGGGGCGGTTAAACGAGGTCACCCTTGTATGGGACTCGGCACAGACTCAGCAAATGGAAGCTTTAACCCTTAGCGTTTATGAATGGATGTGCGGGGCCGCGGAAGGACCGCCTCGGGCAGAGGCCAGCCAGAAGTGGGCCCTGGCGCCCGCTCTGACGAGGCCGAGGGTGCGAGGCTGGGAGGTAGGACCGGTTGGCAGATCTGCCCCGCGCTGTTGACGCCTGTCTCTGCTCTGTGCTCAGGGTGCTGTATGAGGGGAAGGAGCGACCCAAGCCTGGCTTCCAAGTGCTGGAAACGACACCCTACAGCCACTCGGCCAACCTAGCCCCTCCCGGCCCAGGGCACCCCCGCACCTACCTCACTTACCGGCGGGCAGCAGAAGGGGCGGGGCTGCACGCCCTGGGCATCACTGACCTCTGCCTGGTGCTGCCCAGCAAGGGCGAGGGCACCCCTCACACCTATTGCCGACTGCCACGCAGCCTCAACCCTGGCATGGTGAGCGGGGCTGCGAGACGTTGCCGTGAGGGTGCGGACACGGGGCACGAAGGGTAGCCTGGGACCAGGGCCTCTAGTGTGGGGGTGGGCCCAGAAGGGGTGACTCTCGTCTGGGGGGCCACTTCGCGGTGGCCTAAGTGGAGAGAAAATGGTCCCCGGAAACCGCTGCCAGCTGTGTATCTGCTCGTCTCTCCTTGTTCCTGGGACAGTGGGGCCCCGCGGTGCATCTGTGCTACAAAGTGGGCCTGGCCAAGGCCAACACGCTGGTGTACGAGGCCGGTGAGCAGTAGTTTCGTCCCCCCAACCCCTGGGTCCTTCGAGTCCCTCTGCCCTGGCGCCTCTTGGCCAGCACGACCCGCGTGCCCTGAACCCGCCTCCCCTCTGCCGCCGGGCCCTTCTCTGGCATCCCCTGGGCCTCCCCCCCAACGCTGATCGGCCCCCTTTCTGGCTCCCCCCACTGTGCTGGGGCTGCAGAGCTGCTAGGCCGCTACCCCGAGGAGGACAACGAGGCCTTCCCGCTGCCCGAGTCGGTGCCCGTCTTCTGCCTGCCCATGGGGGCCACTGTCGAGTGCTGGCCTGCCCAGACCAAGTACCCCGTGCCCGTCTTCTCCACCTTCGTGCTCACGGGTGCCGCCGGAGACAAGGTGGGTGTGCGGGTGTGCCCCGGGGCCCGGGCCATGCGGAGCCCTCCTGACTGCCTCTCTGCCCCCCGCCAGGTGTACGGGGCCGCCCTGCAGTTCTACGAGGCGTTCCCGAGGGCCAGGCTGTCAGAGCGGCAAGCGCGGGCCCTGGGCCTCTTGAGCGCCGTGGAGCGCGGCCGGGCGCTGGGGGGCCGGGCCGTCCGCAGCCGGCGCGCCATTGCCGTGCTGTCCCGCTGGCCTGCCTTCCCTGCTTTCCGAGCCTTCCTCACCTTTCTCTACCGCTACTCCGTCTCGGGCCCCCACCGCCTGCCCTTGGAAGCGTGAGCACGGGCGCCCCGACGCTGGGGAGGGGTGGGGAGCCCAGGAGAGACGGAAGAGGTTGGGGTGGGCAGAGGAGTGGGGGCCGGAAGTGCCACGGGCTGAGGGGTGAGTGGGGCCCGGGATCCAGCCCACGCTTGCTGGTTAGGTCGTGACCGGGTGAGTGCCCTCTGTGCAGCGGGGGCTCTGATGGCAGGCGAGGGGTCCAGGTGGAGCCCAGGGAGGCCCCAGGCTCTGGGGGACAGGAGAAGGTTCTGGGGGACCGGAGAAGGCTCTGGGGGACCGGAGAAGGTTCTGGGGGACCGGAGAAGGCTCTGGGGGACAGGTGAAGGGCATGAGCATCCCTCTCTTCCCCAGGCACATCTCTCACTTCATTCACAACGTCCCCTTCCCCTCCCCGCAGAGGCCTCGCATCCTGGTGCAGGTGAGGGAGGGGGAGGGGGAGGGAGGGGGGCTGGCCAGCCTCCCTCCGTCATTGTGACCTGCGGCCCTTCTGCCCCCAGATGTCTCCCTATGACAACCTGCTCCTCTGCCAGCCTGTGTCCTCACCCCTGCCCCTCAGGTACGTGCCCGGGTTGTGGGGGGGGGGGTGACACGGGCACTGTGATGACCAAGGACGTGGTAAGTGCCAGGCAGGCGCCCCCAGTCAGGAGTCTGGGCCCCGGGGGTATCTGCACATAGTGTGTAGGGAGGGGGCTCCAGGGTCTCCTGGTGACCCCCCCTGCATTGCCTGCAGTGGCGCCAGCTTCCTGCAGCTGCTGCAGAGCCTGGGCCCAGAGCTGGCCGTCACCCTGCTGCTGGCTGTGCTCACGGAGCACAAGCTGCTGGTGCACTCGCTGCGTCCCGACCTGCTCACCAGCGTGTGTGAGGCCCTGGTGTCGGTGAGCGCCGCCCTGCCAGCCCTCCCCCACCCCAGCTCCCCACACTCTGCTTCCCTTTCCTTCTTCCTGAGCGTCCTCAGCCTTCTCCTTGGGCACAGTCCGGGACTGTTCTCTGGAGCACCCCCCCCCCCCCCCCCCCCCCCCCCCCCCCCCCCCGCTCCGCAGGCCGATGCCCCCTCCCCCCACCACGCCCCCTCTGCCGCCCCGCCCCAGCTCACTGGTTCTTACTCCCTGGCGCCCCAGATGATCTTCCCGCTGCACTGGCAGTGCCCCTACATCCCGCTGTGCCCGCTGGTGCTGGCGGACGTGCTGAGCGCCCCTGTGCCCTTCATCGTGGGCATCCACTCCAGCTACTTCGACCTGCATGACCCGCCTGCTGACGTCATCTGTGTGGATCTCGACACCAACACGCTGTTTCAGTAAGGGGGCCGGGCCCCCCCCGGGCTGGTGTGCGCTGCACCCCCCCCCATAGAGAGCCAGGGACACAGGCCCCACGGCCCCTCCCTCCCTGTGCTCATCTCATAGGACTGAGGAAAAGAAGCTCCTCTCTCCTCGGACGCTGCCCCGCAGGCCCTACAAGGTTCTGCTGGCTATGCTGACCAACTTGTACCAGCAGCTGGACCAGAGTGAGAACCCCGTGGGGGCGTGGGGGCGTGGGGGCGTGCGCGTGTGTGTGCGTGCGAGCATGCGTGTGCGCGCGCGTGCGTGTGTGCGTGTGCCTGTGAGCGTGTGTGTGCATGCGTGTGAGAACCGTCGCTGATGCAAGCCTTCAGGGCGGGAGGGCTGTGGGGAGCTAGACCTCACCCGCCGAGCTCAGGGGTGTCAGGTTTTCACCTGGTGCGAGTGTCCGCGAGGGGCCGGGCGTCCAGTGTCGGTGTTCTGGACGCGGGGGCGGGACGGGGGAGCCGGGCGCCGCGCCTGCCAGGCGTGCCAGGAGCTGGCGCTGGCGCGGGAAGAGCGGGGCCGAGGCCGGCCTGACTCGGGCTGCCCCGGTGCCCAGCGTACACGGGCCCCGAGGAGGAGGCGTCCTTGGAGTTCCTGCTCACCGACTACGAGGCCGTGTGCGGCCGCCGGGCCCGGCTGGAGCGCGAAGTCCAGGGAGCCTTTCTCCGCTTCATGGCGTGTCTGCTCAAGGGCTACCGGGACTTCCTGCGCCCACTCACCCAGGCGCCCTCTGAGGGGGCTCGGGACGTGGACAACCTCTTCTTCTTGCAGGGTAGTCGGGGCGTCACTGGAGGGCCGTCCAGGGGCTGGGGGTTCGGGAGCCGCTCGCTCGCTTGGTCCTTTGCCCAGCAGCCGTCTCGATGGGCACAGGTCCGGGCCCTGCGCTCTCCTGGGCTTGGCGGGAGCCTGGGCGGGGCCCGCCCTCAGGGACCCCGCCCCGGGTGGAGGCAGGGGTTGCAGAGGGGGCTGGGGAGGCTGTGGCCCCAGTAGGCGGCCGTGACCCGGCCGCCCTGCACTCACCCCAGGCTTCCTCAAGTCCCGGGAGCGCTCCAGCCACAAGCTGTACTGCCAGCTGCTGCGCACGCAGATGTTCTCGCAGTTCATCGAGGAGTGCTCCTTCGGCTCCGCCCGGCACGCTGCCCTCGAGTTCTTTGACTCGTGCGTGGACAAGGTACTGGGCGCCTCCTGCCCTTCGAGAGCCACCGCGGCCCCTCGACGCCTCGTCCGTGCCGGGGATGCCCCCTGTGCCCCGCGCGGGGCTGCTTCAGGTCCACGCCGCCCTCCGGGTCTGGCTCGCCTCCCCTCTGCCCCCTGCAGCCTGCGGCGCCTCCGGGGCCTGGGGGGGCGGGGAGCGCGTGGGCCGGGCTGTGCTCTCCAGGGAGAGGCGGTGCCCTGGACACCCTGGCACCCTGGCCCGCGCCCACCGCCATGACCTCGCTCTCTCGCGCTCCCGCTTCAGGTGCACCCGGAGCAGGAGAAGCCTGAGCCGACGCCCCTGGTGGAGCTGGAGGAGCTGTCGGGGAACGAGCTCACCGTCTTCATCACCCCGCCCGAGGAGCCTCCCGCGCCGGAGGGCAGTGAATCCGCCCCCCAGTACTGGTGAGGGCCTCTTGTTCCAGGCCCCCCGGGCGGGCTTCGCGTTGACCGCTCCTGACGGCGTCGCCTCTCCCTGCCCCTCCAGCTACGACGGCTTCCCGGAGCTCCGGGCCGAGCTGTTTGAGTCTCCTCAGGAGCAGCCCGGGGCTCTGCCCGTGCCCGGCCCGTCCCGCAGTGCCCCCAGCAGCCCTGCCCCCCGCCGTACCAAACAGGTAAGCGGGACGGGGCCCCACAGACGCCCCTGACTCAGGCCGTCTCTCCTCCCGTGAAGGGGCTGGAATGGCACCTATCAACCCACTTGCCCACGAAAGCTCGTGAAACGTGAGCTGCTGTCACCGTCACTCATCCTCACCATCACTTTCGTCTTCTAACTCGTTTGGGGAGGGGGGGGCTCACTGCCTCTCCTGGGGCGCCTGCCCGTGCTGCAGGCCCGCAGGGCCGAGGCCCGTGTGCGTACCTTCCCGCCCCGTCAGAGCACAGTCCCTTTCTCGGGAGGGGGGTCCCTCCTCCCGCGCCATCTCAAGACCGGCTTCGGCCCGGCGCTGCCCTCACCCAGGCGTCCCCCGCCCCATCCAGGAGACGAAGGTGGCCCAGCGGATGGCGCAGAAGTCGGCGGCCGTGCCCGAGCTGTGGGCGCGGTGTCTGCTGGGGCACTGCTACGGGCTCTGGTTCCTGTGTCTGCCGGCCTTCGTGCGCGCCGCGCCCTCCCGCGTACAGGCTCTGCACACGGCCTACCACGTGCTGCGCCAGATGGAGAGCCGCAAGGTGGTGCTGCCCGACGAGGTGGGCCTCCTGCTGCTCACCGGGTGGGCGTGTCTGGGGTGCGGCGTCCGCGGGGAAGGGCGGGTGGCCCTGGAAGCCCTCGGGGCCGCTGGCTGGCGCGCCTGCAGGGACCTGTGGGGGCTGGAAGAAGGTGCCTGTTGGGACGGGGGAGGGGGGGCCGGGAGCGGGCCCCTCATCCGGCGCCTCTCCCGGCCCAGGTGTGTTACCGGGTGCTGATGCAGCTCTGCTCCCACTACGGGCAGCCCGTGCTGTCTGTGCGGGTCATGCTGGAGATGAGGCGTGCGGGCATCGTGCCCAACACCATCACCTACGGCTATTACAACAAGGTGCGCAATCCGGGCGAGGGGGGTGAGGGCGGTGAGGGCGGGCCGGCGGCCCGTGTGCCGTGGGGCGGTGCTGCTCCCTGACGTCCCCTCGGAGACCCAGCCCGAAACCACTGTCCTCGCCGTGCTCAGGGCGCCTTAGCGCCCACGCGGTGTTTCCTCCTGCTTGCTCGCCAGAGGCCACCGGGCAGGTACCGCTGCGACCCACTGGTGGCTGTGGTGTCAGCCGGTGAGCCAGGCGCTGCTTCAGCCCCGCCTTCTCAGGCAGGCGGTGAAGGTGCAGGGAGCTGGTCCCTGGTCCAGGCCCCCACGAGGAGGAGGTCAGGGAGGCTGGGTATGAACACAGGGACGCGGCCATGTTCCCTGCACTCCGGCCCTTAACCACGGCCCTGAACTGCCTCCTGGTTTTTACACGATGAAACTGATGGGCGAGAAAGCAGAAAGGTTTCTTCAAAGCCTTACACTCGACAAGTAGCCGAGTCGGATGCAAACCGTCTGCACTGCTGCTGGCTTCCTCCAGACCCTCAGTGGCAGCTGCTACTACCAGCCCCATCTGGGCTCTCGCTCCTGGCCGAGCCGTCGGCAGGACCGAACCAGGCGGGACGTCTGCAGGGGAAGGTGGCCCCTGAGTCCCCGGGGGTGTCCCTGAAACAGGCAGTGGCCATCAGGCTGTAGTCGGGCCGTGGAAGTAGGCCATCCTGATGGGCACCGTGCTTCGCAGGCCGTGCTGGAAAGCAAGTGGCTGGCTGGGACCCCCGGCGGACGTCTGCGCTGGGCCAAGCTCCGGAATGTCGTCCTGGGGGCCGCTCAGTTCCGCCAGCCCCTGAGGGAACGGCGACGACGGCAGCAGCAGGCAGCGGCAGCAGAGGCAGGCGGTGCCCAGACAGGTGGGTAGAGCCTGTGACAGGCTTGGGGACAGCAGCCGGGCTCCAGCAGGGAGATGCGTGGGGGGCCAGGGCTGGCCTCGTGGTTGGCACTGGGCGTTCTGGGCACTCTGGATAAGCCGCGCTTGGCTGGTGAAAAGGGGAGGATGCTCCGCCCGGGAGGACCCCTGCACCCCCAGGCCCACGCAGGAGGCCCCGTGTTGGAGTGGGGCGCTGGGCGTCCAGCCGGCCACCCGTCAGCCTTGTCCCCACTTTTTGCAGAGCCCCGTCGGGAGCGTCACTCTCCTACCCGTCCGCTTCAGCGCCAGACCACTTGGGCTGGTCGAAGCTTTCGAGACTCAGCTTCACCCACAGGGCGCCTGGTGAAAAGTGGCAGCCTGGGCAGTGCCCGTGGGGCCCAGCCCACCGTGGAGGCTGGTGTGGCCCACAGTGAGTGCCCTTGTCTGACCCCCAGTCGGCTTTCCTAAGCACTCGCCAGGAAGAGAGGGGCCCTCTGTGGGGAGCACTGTGGAAGCTGGAAGACCTTGTCCAGGGCGGCGCGGGGGTGGGGGTTGGGGTCGTGGTGCCAGGGCCGGGTCAGCCGGGGGCTGTTTCCTGACTTTTCTCTGCCCTGCAGTGATCGAGGCCTTGGGGGTCCTGGAGCCCCGGGGATCCCCTGTGCCCTGGCGAGACGGAAGCCTCTCTGACCTGAGCTTGACCGGAGAGGAGCTGGCACCCGGGGGCAGCCCGGAGGACTCTGGTTCTGCCCTGAGCGCCCAGTCCACAGAGGCCCTGGAAGGGCTGAGTGGGCGGACGCCCAAGGCTGGTGGGCGTCAGGAAGAGGCCAGCACCCCCAGACGAGGGCTGGGCGCCCGCCTGCAACAACTGCTCACCCCTTCCCGCCGCCCCCCTGCCTCGCGTGGTCCCCCACCCGAGCTGCCCCCTGACCCACCTCCCCCAGCGCGTCGCAGCCCCATGGACAGCCTCCTGCGCCCCCGAGAGCGCCCTGGATCCACCGCCTCCGAGGTAGCGCGCCAGGGGAGGGTGCAGATGGGCCGGCACCCCAGGGGCCTGCAGAGGGGCTGCAGTCTTGGAGCCAACCCGGAGGAGGCCCTAGGGGGCTGACCGCACCTTCTCCTGTGATGGCAGAGCTCAGCCTCTCTGGGCAGCGAGTGGGATCTCTCCGAGTCTTCTCTCAGTAGCCTGAGCCTTCGGCGGTCCTCGGAGCGCCTCAGTGACACCGCTGGGTCCTTGCAGCCGCCCTCCCTGGAAGTGAGGATAGCCCCCATCCCTCCGTCAGAGGCTGGCGCCGGGGAGGTGGGGGGCCCCTTCCCGAGCCTGGCGGGGCCGGGGAGCCCCCATCCCTCCGTCAGAGGCCGGGGCCCGGGAGGTGGGGGGCCCCTTCCCGAGCCTGGCGGGTCTTCTCCCCACAGATCCTGTTGTCCAGCTGCTCCCTGTGCCGGGCCTGTGACTCACTGGTGTACGACGAAGAGATCATGGCTGGCTGGGCCCCTGACGACTCCAACCTCAACACAGTCTGCCCCTTCTGCGCCTGCCCCTTCGTGCCCCTGCTCAGCGTCCAGACCCTGGATTCCCGCCCCAGGTACCTGAACCAGGGTGGGTGCTACGGGCGGGACAAGGGAGTGGGGGGCAGTGGAGGCCCAAGGGGCTGACCCTTCTTACCCCTCCGCAGGGCCCCCAGCCCCAAGCCTGCCCCTGCCGGAGCCGGTGGCAGCAGAGACGCTCCTGTCCCGGGGGGCCCAGGCCCCGTGCTCAGTGACCGTAGGCTCTGCCTTGCCCTGGATGAGCCCCGGCTCTGCAACGGGCACATGGGGGTAAGAGCTGGCAAGGAATCGGATCTTGGGGGCACCAGGTGGTGGGGTGTGATGGACATGGAGGGCGTGGGGCAGCTCAGAAACTGCTGGACGTGGTGGCCTGGGTCTGGGGACTTCCAGTGGGAAGCCTGGCTCTGGGGACTAGGCCTCGGTCCGCCCTGAATCACCCTCCCTCTTTGTGCCTGACAGGGCGCCTCCCGGCAGGTGGAGGGTGGGGCCTGGGCGTACCTGAGCCCTCTGGTGCTGCGGAAGGAGCTGGAGTCGCTGGTGGAGAACGAGGGCACTGAGGTGCTGGCATTGCCTGAGCTGCCCGCTGCCCACCCCATCATCTTCTGGAACCTTCTGTGGTATTTCCAGCGGCTGCGCCTGCCTAGTATTCTGCCATGCTTGGTGCTGGCCTCCTGTGACGGGCCCCCGCCCCCCCAGGTCAGACTCCACCCCGTCCCCCCCCCCCCACGGCCCCTGCTTCCTGAGTGCTCCTCGCCTCACTTCCCAGCTCTGCCCCTTGGGCTTCAGAGGCGGCACCTGGTTTGACCCCTGGCCTTTTAAGGTCACGGCTCAGCCTCAGTTCTCTCACCTGTAGAACGGCACAAGCATGCAGCGCCCGGGGCTGTCGGACACCTCGCGCGGTGCCCAGCGCCCGTCACAGTGCCTCCTGATGTTTGTCTGTTCATCTCCCCAAATATTTGTGGAGCGCCTTTTAGGTCGCAGGCAGTTTGTAGGCAGTAGTGACGTAGTGACCGCGGAACAAAACGCGTGCTCTCAGAGCGCGTGCTCGCGGGGATGCGCGGTCCTCCCTCCCTCCTCTCTCTGCCGTGTCCCCGAACAGCGCTGGCCCGGGTCTCGTCCTCTGCCCGCCACCTCACGAGCCTGCCCCCTTCGTCTCGGCCCCTGCAGGCCCCGTCTCCCTGGCTGACACCTGACCCGGCGTCTGTGCAGGTGCGGCTGCTGTGGGATGTCCTGACCCCTGACCCCAGTAGCTGCCCACCTCTCTATGTGCTCTGGAGGGTCCACAGTGAGTCTGGTATTCGGCCCAGGCTGGGAAGGGGTGGGTCCCACGCTCAGAGGGCTCGATAATCCTGGCTTCCTTCCTTTGTTTGGCGCAGGCCAGATCCCGCAGCGGGTGGTGTGGCCCGGCCCGGCGCCTGCACCCCTTAGCCTGGACCTGCTAGAGTCGGTGATGCGCCACGTCGGTCTCAATGAGGTGCACAAGGCCGTGGGGCTCCTGCTGGAAACCCTGGGGCCCCCTCCCACAGGCCTGCACCTGCAGAGGTATGGCGCTCCCGCCCGGGGGCCGCTGGCCTTCGCCCCTCCCTCTCTCACTCACCCCCTCTGCCTCCACTGCAGGGGCATCTACCGTGAGATCTTATTCCTGACAATGGCCGCTCTGGGCAAGGACCACGTGGACATAGGTGAGAGAGCAGGCAGGGGACTGAGGAGTTGAAGGATCTGGGGCCAGGTGTGGGGGGGGGGGAGTTGGAACCCTGATCTGTTGACCCACCTCCGCCCTCTTCCCTAGCGGCCTTCGACAAGAAGTACAAGTCTGCCTTTAACAAGCTGGCCAGCAGCATGGGCAAGGAGGGGCTGAAGCAGCGGCGGGCACAGATGCCCACTGCGAAGGCCATCGATTGCCGGAAATGTTTTGGAGCACTTCTGGAATGCTAGGGACCCTTAAGCTTTCCTCTCCCGGCTGGGGGGGGCGGGGGGAGGGAGTTGAGAGAGGAAGGGCTCCAGAGGTGGCCTGCTTCCCTGCCCCTCCCGTACAGGAGCTGGGGACGGGCTGGGAAGCAGGCCCAGCCACAGGCACCGAGTGCATGGGCAGCAGGAAGAGGGGCCCACTGTTCCCAGAATTCACAGTGGCCTATGTGCAGCCGGCCCGGTGCGCTCACACTGATGTAGGAGGCAGGGGTGCGGCGGGGGAGTTAGCACAGCTCTGTTTCTTCCCCAGACTATACCCTCCTCCAGGGTACCCACAGATCTGCGCTGCCCTGGTCTTTTTATAAGTTTTTGTTTTAAAAAACAACTGGAAAAATACAGAGCTACTGAGCCTTTGCCCCGAACGGGAGGGAGGGATGTCATTCCCCACCGGTGATGGTCCTTCTTCCCTGGAATTGCAGAAGTAGCCCGAGGCTCTTCATTACAGCTTTCTACCTTAGTGTTTGTACTTTAAGTCATTTATTGTGGAGCCATAGCCCCTTTCTTAGGAGGTTCTTAGGGATGGTGAGAAACAGACGGGACGTGGGGCACATGGTTCAGTGGTTTGCAGCTCCAGAAAAGGCAGGAGCCAAGAGAGGAGCCCCAAACTCCCCTCAGGAGGGACTGATGCCCCGTCCAGCCCAGTCCTTCCCGCCCACTCCACCCGCCCAGGGCCTTGACCGTGCAATAAGGATTGTTCCTTGCAAAGTTTGTTGGATGTAAATATAGTAAATGCTGCTTCTGTCTTTTTCCTTCTGCGTTTTTTCCTGGATCTGGGACAGCTGTGGGGGACACCTCTCCTTTTCCCCCCGGCTGCACGTCCTTTCTGCCTTTACATCCCTTGTGGCCTCAGGCACGGCCAGCTTCCCGGGACCGAGTCCCCTGGGGCCCCGGGAGCCCTGGGAGCAGGAGAGGGGTGAGTCCAGCACTGGCCGTGGTGGTGCCAGTCTGTGTGGCACTTCCGGCCCTCCCACACAATCACCCCCTTGTCCCTCATTTGTACCCCACACAAAGGCGCCATTCTCCGGGGGCCTTGAGCTCATCTCTGCCTTCTTCCCTCTCCCGCGGCTTTCCCTCCCGGCTTCTCCAGCACCGCCAGAGGACAGCCCTCTCCCTGGTAGCTGGTGTCGGAGGCTCTCGTCGCCCTGGCAGTCATCCCAGGCCTCCTCAATTGCTCTAGCCTCGGTCAGTACTCTTCCAGCCAGGGTCCCAGCCTGGGGACAGTGCCAGGACAGGGGTGGGGAGCGAGGAGCTCACTGCATGTGGGCAACAGGGAGATTGGCCGCCTCGGAATTCTCCCTTTCCTGTGTGATGAAATAAATTCCAGAAACAACAATCACCGAAGGGAATTAGCCAACAAAACAAATGCCTTGGGTCCTTCCCCAGAGGGCAGGAGGGTCAATGGAGCAAGTAACTTATGGGACACTTGAGTGCAAATTCCCGGGAGTGGATCACAGTGGATGAAGAGAGAAGGACTCTCTAAATGCTGTAAACTTCAAGCCACAGGACCGACCCTTCCCCATCCTATGCCAAGCACAGTAGGTGCTTTTCCAGCGCCCTAAAAGAGCTGCACAGGAGGGGAGCAGGGGCTTAGGAAACGCCATCAGTCTTGCCAGGGGCTAGGAGATGCCTTCTTCAAGGAACCCTCATGTCACCCCAGGTTCTGATCAGACCTCACTCCCCAGATTCAACCTTTCCCTGTATCTGAAATACCAAAAACCAAAGTTTTTGTTGGTGTGGTGTGCCCAGCAGTGCACAGAACCATCTGGAATTAGAGTAGAGCTCCGTCCCTACCTTACCGGAGCATACAATCTAGAGCTCCCCTTGAGTCACAGTAACGATAATCATCCTTGCCCCTGGCTTATACTTCTCACCCGTGAGCCTCCTTCTAGACACCTACAGGCACATGGACAGGACTCCAGAATTCTTTATAAACACAAGAATATCTGGAAATTCCAATAGCAAAGTACTCACTATGATGTCTGACATCTCTGTCCTATGGCCTAGGGAGCTGTATGAGGGAAAACATGTGCCCAATATCTTTAGAGCATATATGCTTGAGTGTGACAAATTTTTAATTAAATCTGGTCTCTGCCATTTACTAATTTTATTATATCGGCCAAATTAACTGCTGTGCCTCAGTTTTTCCTTGTCTGCAAATCAAGGAGATTGTCAAGATTAATTACATAAACCATATAAAGTGCTGAGCACACTCCATAAATGCTAGCTTCATAAAAAGAACAAGCAGGCAGTCCGCAGAGGGAAAGGCCAGGTCCACTCCAACAGCGGCCCCACACGCTCATCTTCCTCAGGAGTTTGATCGCTCTAGATTCAAAGTCCCCTCCATGGTCTCACTCTCTGTTGAAAGGCATCTTCGTCAGGCTGGCATCTTTGGCCACCGTGTCCCCCGTGTCCCCTCTTGCCAGACAGCAGAGAACGAGCAAGACGCCAGGTTAGGGAAGGCTGCACTTTGATGAGGGCAGTGACTTTGTCACAATTCCTCCTGGACCCCCGGCACATGACAGGGCCTCCATCTTGTGTGTTAAAACAAGTATCGAGACAAGAAAGAATGTTCAGTGCAGAGCAAGGTAGGTACAGCAGGCAGATAGCAACAGAAGCTGAATTTAGAGCTAAGAGAGTGCAATTGTTGAAAGTGAGGAAAACTCTCATAACAGTTACCATTTATTACGTTCACCAAGTGTTTACTCTCACTAGGTCCTGTTCTGAGCATTTTAAGTGCACTATTTTAAAATCCTCACAAGTGCCCTATGAGCTGGGTGCTTTTCTCAATATCCTCATTTTACTCATAGTGGAGACTGGGACATAGAGAATAATTGTTAAAATAACTTGCACCCCAATTCTACAGCTGGTGGAGGTGGAGCCCACGCCCAAGCCCAGGCAGTCTGACTCCAGAGACCACGTTCCTCACTGGGACCCTAGAAGGAAACAAGGATGCGGACACCCTTCTGTGTGGGTGTCCAGGGTCCACCTGTCTTCATGCGCCTTCTCCATCAGTTTCCTTTGCATTGACTTCTAAAGGATTTGAGGGGCGCCTGGGGGGCTCAGTCGGTTGAGCGTCCGACTTCGGCTCAGGTGACGATCTCACGGTCCGTGGGTTCGAGCCCCGCGTCGGGCTCTGTGCTGACAGCTCAGAGCCTGGAGCTGCTTCAGATTCTGTGTCTCCCTCTCTCTCTCTCTCTCTCAAAAATAAATCAACATTAAAAAAATAATACAAGATTTGGAAAACACATTCTAGTGCTTCTGGAGCCAGTAATCCCGGGCTTCAAACCACTGCTTCCTCCCTAATCGGATGTCCGACCTTTGCAAGTAACTCAGCCTCTCTGAGCCCGCTTCCTGACGTTCGGGGGTGCAGGCTTCAGCCCTGCCACTTGGCACGGGTGACCTGGGGCACGTCGTGCCTCCGCCTGTGCACTGGGGACAACCCTATCTCCCTCGAGAGTTAGAGCCATCAATGAAGGAGTAGTTGATGAGGCCGCAGCGCTGGGCGGCGGCTCCCCGGCACCCCGACTCCGGACACCGGATCCTGGTCCTCGAGGAGCTCGAGAACCGCTCCGACAGTTGGGCTGCAGGCGGGGAGGTCGGCACGAGGCGCCGCGCCCCGGCGGACGCCGCTCCCCGCGTCGGGAGCCCGGCCAGCCCCGGGGCCCCGCACGCCGGGCCGCTCCGCGCCGGGCACCGCGGGGCCCGGGAGGCTCGAGGCCTGGGCCGGACGCGGGCAGGCCACGCCCCGCGCGCACAGTGAGGCCCGAGCGCCCACGGCTACTGCCCCCGTCAAATTCCGGGATTCTGTCGCGATGAACCACCACCCAACGCGGAGCCTGGCGCCCGCTCGCCGGCCTCCATCTTTGGAGTCGGAAGAATGAGAGCTGGCCGAAGGGGAATCCCGGTTTGAGGAGACTGCGGTACGGCGGCTGCCTGGGGACCAAAACGTCTCTGAGGTAAAGTTGCAGCCTGAAGCGATTTTTTGACCCCCGACACTTAATGGGCTGCTGAAGACCCGGATGTGTCTGGGACTGGCCGAGGTACCCATTAACGCGCCCCCGCTGGACCATCCCCCTCCTCCGCTTAGGATTGGGTATTACGTACGCCAGTCATCACTTCTCTAGCCACTCACGCTTCAAGGGTGGGGTGTAGTCCCGGCATCCCGCCTCCTATTGGTGTGGCCGCGAAGAAAAGGGCGGGGAGGCCGGCTTAGGTCGTCCAATGGGCGTCGTGGCGTGTGGGGAAGGCGGAGCCGAGGCGCTTGGCAGCTGCCCAATCAGCGTCCTTGTTTGTGTGGTGCCGCCGCCGGTGCAGCCGCCGCCGCCGCCGCCGCCGCTGCCCCCGTCTGTACCGCAGTGTCTGCTCCGCCCGCCCGCCCCGGGCTGGCCCGCCCCCCTCCCCCACCCCCGCCCCCGGTCCCGTCAGCGGGGCCCGGAACCCACTGTGCCGTCGCCTCCCTTTTTCGACGCCTCCGCCGCCGCCTGAGGAGGCGAGCTCGCCGGGAGTTACACCGCCACCGCCAGGTGAGGAGCTTTGGCCTAGGCCCGCCTGGCTGCCCGCCCGCCCGGGGGCGGTGAGCAGCGAGGACGGCAGGGAGCCGGGAGGCGGCGGCGGCGGCGGCGGCGGCGGCGGCGGAGGTGGGGGAAGGGAAAGGTGGAGGGCGGGGGAGGGGAAGCGCCCGCGAGCCGACGCCCGCCCGCGCGCCCCCGCCTCGCGTCCCCCTCCCCCGCCCGGCCCCGCGCGCCCCCGCCTCGCGCTCCCCTCACCTCGTCCCCTCCCCCGCCCGCGCGCGCGCCCCGGCCTTTCCCTTCGGCCTCGCGCGCCCCCGCCTTGCGTCCCTCCGTTCCTTCTGCTTTTACTCTCTTTCCCCTCCCGCGCGCCCCGTTTCCCCCGCCATCCCCGCTTTCACTCCCGGCCTCCTGCCCGCCATGCGCCCCCTCCGCTCCTCTCTAGCGCCCCCCCCGACCCCTCTCCGCCCGCGGAGGCGCCCTCGGGGCGTGGGGGCCTATCCCCGAGCGCTGGGCCGGGTCCGCCGGCCGCCGGGGCCCCCGGGGGCTCCGTAGGGTGCGGGCGGCGCGGGGGCTTCTCTTTATGTAGGTGAAGGGCTCAGGAGCGCAGAACCTGGGCCCTTTATTCGTCGCCCTCCTGTCGGGGAAGGGAATTGTCCCCGCTCGTGTGGGCGCTTCTCTTGTGTGGCGACTCCGTTGCCCCTGTCCCCGCGGGGCTCCCGGGACGCCCTGCGCTTGCATCCCGGCCCGGTGCCCGGGGGTCGTCGGAACTGGGACCGGCCCTCCCCCTCGCCTCTCCGGGAGCTCGCGTCTTTTCGGCCGCCCTGCCCTGCCCTCGGCTGCACCGAGGATCGAGCCGCCCCTGCCGGCGCCCTTCGCCGGCCCGGGACGGCCTTCCCCTCCGCGAGGGTTTGCTCGCTTCTTCCGACTCCCCCAGACACAAGGTGTCGGCGCCCAGGCCCGGCGCCGAGGTGGAGACGGAGGCACCGCTGGCGGGTGGGTGGCACGTGCGTGTTAGCCGAGCCAGCGCTCAGCCTTTTCTTCTGCTGTCATCCGGAGAATCGGGAGTTTTCTCGTGGTGATGTGGAGGGCTTTTGTGCGCGCTCGAGGGGCCTGGGGGGAACGCTTCCTCGGTTTCGGCAACGCGGAAGGCCACACTGCAGCACCGAGGACTGGCCTGGCGGCAGCTGGAGCGAAAGCGGGTCGCCCAGATCCCTGGGGAAGAGCTGGTGCTTTTGCGCGTTTGAGACATTTTTACTCCTAATAATTTAGTTTTGGATAGGCAGGGCGTGCATGTGACACAAAGTGAATGCTTCCCTCCCGCACCTCCAGCCACCGAGTCCCCTCCCCATCCGCTGCTGTCTCCTCGTTTTCTGGTGGCAGCAGCGGTGTCTGTATGTTGGAGGTTAACCTGTTGGGATGTTTAGTGCTAACTTTACTGCTTTTCCTCTTATACACTGATCTCAGCTCTTCCTAGAAGTCTCGTTCACGTTCTCGGTGCCCATCGGTCTTGGTAGAGTACTGTTCTCGAGTAACATTTCTGGGCGCGCTTGGTGAACGAGGCTGCTCCTGGGGCTACTGGAGGGGGTGTGGTGTTTGGAAGGAAGGCCCACATCTGTTGGAAATGGTGCTGCTTTTTGGGTAACTGTCACCTGGGCTCAGTTTGGGGATGGGCTGGGTCAAGGATACCCTTTCCTTGGGCTTTCTAAGCAGGCGGGTTGTGAGAATAATGAGGTAGCGGGGTACTGACCTGTCTTTAGAGGAGCTTAGTTCTAGTCTGGTGGCGGTGGTCGTCATCGTGGTGAGGAACACAGCAGATGAATATTACTCGGTAGGACTCAGAAGGCCAGACCTGTAGACTGAATGACCCAGTTTGCGAAGAGGTGAGGCTTCTCAACTTTTGTTCTGCTTATTCCTTCCTTGAGAACAAACACTTCCTGAAGTGAGAGGGATCCGCAACAGTGACAGCAGCATCCATCTTCATGACACTGTGGTCCGCCTCCCCTGACTGTGTGATGTCTGTTAACTTCCTGTTTAGAGGCAGTTCAAAAAGGATCTGAATAGAGGCTGCATTCATGTACTTGTTTAGGATCAGTGTAGACCAGGTACCCTGATCAGTCCTTCAGATCTAGGATCTGGTAGTGACTTTTACTGCTGTGTTTAGCATAAATAAGGCCACAGGGCTGGGGACGGAAGAAGTGAAGATTTTTTCTGAACTTCAGAGTCTCAAAGTTCATTGCAGAGCTTCTTGTGTTGCTCTCTTTCCCTTTTCTTCCTTTATCTTTTCTTTTCTTTTCTTTTTTCCTGACAAATGTTTCCAATTCCCATCACCCCCCACCCCCCCTTGCTGGACCTGGCCAGACCTTCAGGCTGGTTGGATTTTGGTTACAGAACTGCAGCATGTGGGGTAGGGTCAGTGTGCCAGTAGTAGTATCCGATCGTATGCTTGGGCCTTTGGATTCATCCTGGTTTAAGGGGTATGTTCTATGTAAACCAGGCCTCTTGTTTCAGTTTACTCTTCCTCCCTTCTTCCCTTCCCTTCCCTTCCCTTCCCTTCCCTTCCCTTCCCTTCCCTTCCCCACCCACCAAGCTGGAGGTGCACCTGTAGGGAGCAGCAGTTGTGCTGTCCTGGTTTCTAGGCTCTGGAGGATGCTCCGTGTTCACCAGCCCACTGGGACAAGCACGCTGACAGCCCTCCGTGCTCAGAATGCTCGCGGTGTTGGGCTCATTGAGAAAAGCCAAACCAACTTTGATTGATTAAAACAACTGCTGGAGAAAGTGTAAGATTTGAGCCATAACTTGACCAAGGAATTCTTTCCTAGAACTTTTGCAGTATTTAAAGCTCTGCATCATAACACATTAAGGCACAATAGTCAGGCATTTTCTGAAGCAGTCTGGGGAAAGGGGGGGGAAAAAAAGACACACCCAGATTGACTATAAATCTGGCCCTGGTGTAAAGCTGTCCACCTCTTGCTCAGGAAAAATCCTCTCAGATAATGCCACACAAAGTTGCAGTTTGCATCGGCCAGGCTCGGGAAAAGATACATGAGGAAGTTCAGTTTTTCTTGAAAAGGGCTGACTTTTAGGGGGGAAAGCTTCTGTTAGCTGTATTGTTTGTTTTATTCTCAGTATTCTATTCCTGTGATACTTTGGGTGGATCTTGGTGACTCCGGAGTCCATGAAGCAGAGAGACTCCCGTATTTGGGTGGTAACGATGAAAGCACTGGAGGGTAGGTCTGATTTAAAATGCTTCCTCTTCATGTTTCATCTTTTTCTCTCTTGTGGATGTATGAAATATTCCTGTGTAGTTTTGAGTTCGTGGAGTAGGAAAGGAGTGACCCCGGGTCGTTAACAGAACTTAGCGCATCTGCTCCACTTCTTAGTTGGTGTCTCCCTCAAATCCTCTAATCTTTGTCATTGCCCTACGTTGCCGTTAACTGGCAAGAAGCTATCAAGAGTTTTGGGTTATTACACCAAAAGCAACAGATGAATTAAGAACACATGTTTTGTTACTTTTGAGGTGTGAAACTGGTCAGGTCCCAGACCTCCGAGAGTTCCAGTAATTGCAGAAGCAGCTTTGACGACATACAAATTTGATTGTTATTAATACTAGCCAGTAAACTATTGATAAAAAATGACAGTATTTCCACATTCCTGAGCCATTCTTGATTTTCACAAGCAATGTAAAATGTTTATATTTTAAAGATAATTCAGATTATCATTACTTGAACCTGAAAGTCGTGCTTTAAACCTCTTGATCAAAGGTTTCTTGAACTTGTCTGTTTTGGGGGAAGGTGGAATTTGTAGTCTCCCCAGATATAGGCTGGAATGTTAGTAGGATTTAGATTAGACATCAGGATTAAAAAGTACTCATTGTAGGAGCGCCTGGGTGGCTCAGTCGGTTGGGCGTCCGACTTTAGCTCAGGTCATGATCTCAAGGTTCGTGGGTTCGAGCCCTGTGTCGGGCTCTGTGCTGATTGCCAGCTCAGAGCCTGGAGCCTGTCTTCGGATTCTGTGTCTCCCTTTTTCTCTGGCCCTCCCCTGCTCATGCTGTCTCTCTCTCAGACATAAATAAAACATTAAAAAAATTTTTAAAAATAAGTACCCATTGTAGTTGTGAGGGATTAGAAATGTTAACTGGAGGGTTTGTGCATCTCTTACCTAGAAGTTATTTCCAAAGTAGCTGATCTCTTTTTCTCCCTGTTGCTCACTCAGGTCCAGCCACCTTGACTTGTTACTTAAATGCATTAGTTACATTTTTTATCTTAGAATCTTTGCACTAGCTATTCCAGATAGTGAGAAATAGTTTTTCCTACAGAGATAATACAAATGACTAATTTCCTCACCTTCAGGTTTTTGCTTAAATATGTCACCTTTTCAATGAGATCTTATCCTACCTCTTAAAATTGCACCTTGACCACCTTTCCGAATTCTGTTATGCTCTGTTTTTGTGTTTTTATTTTTATTTTATGTTTATTTATTTTTGAGAGAGAGAGAGCATGAGGTAGGGTAGGACAAAGAGAGAGGGAGACACAATCTGAAGCAGGCTCCAGGCTCTGAGCTGCCAGCAGAGAGCCCCATGTGAGGCTTGAACCCCCCAACCGTGAGATCATGACCTGAGCTGGAATGGGACACTGAGCCGGAGTCGGATGCTGGACGTTTAATGGACAGAGCCACCTAGCTGCCCCTCTCTTTTTGTTTTTTTATAGCACTTATAACTTTATAACATATTTGTTACATTTGTTGCTTTTTTAAAAGTTTATTTAAGTGATTTCTACACCCAATGTGGGGCTCAAACTCACGACCCAAGATCAAGAGTCTATGTGCTCCTCTGATCAAGCCAGGGCCAGGCCCCCCCCCCCCCGTTTTTTTACATTTATTGCTTACTGTTTCCCCTCCTATGATGTGAGGTCCACGAAGTTATCGATTTATTTTGGCGTTTTAATGCCTAATACAGTGCTTGATGCATAGTTAATAAATATTTGTCGATCAAATAAAAATAGAAACTGTTTTCC